AGGGTCTCTAGCATCTGTGTCATAAACGAGCTCCCAGGACCAGGCCGAGCATACATCCTCTCTGCTCAGCCATGCGTGTGCCCTGCGGAGGACAGTTCCCTACCCCAGGGGAAGGCAGGGAGGACTTGGGTGCTGGCTGTTGGGCCACCTGCACAAACTGCCTGCCCACTCTGAGCCTCTTCTGTGGAATGGTGTCTTAGTTTCCTACTGGCTGCTGTCTCAAGTTACCACAAACTTAATGGCTCAAAACAACACAAGCATGTTATCGTGCAGTTCTGTAGGTCAGAAGTCCCACACGGGGCTCAGTAGGCTGAAGCAAGCTGTGTGCAGGACCAGGTCCTCTCGGAGGCATGGGGTGGGGTGAGGGGGGATTTGTTCCTTGCCTTTTCCCACTTCCAGAGGCTGGCCACGTTCCTTGGCTCACCCAGATAATCCAGGAGCATGTGCCCATCTCAGAGTCCTAACTGAACCACACCTGCAAAGTGCCCTTTGCTGTGTCAGGTCACCTACTCACAGGTTCCAGGGATCAGGATGTGGACAGCCCCTGGGGGCCGCTATCTGCCCACCACAAATGGGGGTGGTCACATTGCATCCCCTACAGTCAGTGTTTTTGCAGAATGTGCCCCATCTCCTGCCAGCATCTGTATTACCTGGGGACTGAGGGACCGCTCAGACGCCCAAACCTGAGTCTCGATGGGGGTCTTGGGGTGCTGCCTCTCCAAAAGTTCTGGGTGATGCCTCTGCATGGTGGCACTGGACAGCCTGGAAAAGCGAGGTCTCCAGTGTGGCAGGAGCTAGGAGCACTCAGAGGGGGCAGGCAGGAGGCTCATGCCATCAGTCCCCTTAGAACCCAGCAGTCACATCACATTGCAACTTTGCCTCCCTGAGCTTGGAGGCTGAGGTTGCTAGGGAGGTGCTTCCCGGGCCCACAGACTGAGGCTGCGCTGGATGCTGCCCCCGGGACCCAGTGGGGGCTCCTCTGATCTATATCTCCTTTGATCTATACCTCCAGGACAGCAGGTGTCCCCAGTGGCCACCTAGGCTAGGGCGTTGCAGCCTGCGGGTGAGGAGGCTCCAGGGAGTGGCGGAGGAGGGGTGTGACCATGTGGACCTAACGTGGAACCTGAGGGAATCTGAATGTTCTTAGGTGGGGGCACTGTTGCTGGCAAGCTTTGCACCCCATGCTGAGTCCCACCTAGCTCAGAGCCTGGGTGGATGGCTCCGTGCACGTGTCAGGAGCGGCCCACCTCCCGCTCTGCGTTTCCACCTCGGATTCTGCTTGATATACAACGTCTGCTCAGCTTTCCTGCAGGAGCCATCTGGAAGTACAGGGGACATAACTAAGCTCTCTCAGCAAAAGAGGCTGGGACACTCCCCACACAGCTCCCCAAGATCTGAGCCCGTGCTGGCCACGAGTGTACCCATCCCAGTAATGCACCCTTTGCGGGCTATTCCCCCTTCTCTACTTCTGTCTCTCTGTTCTCCCTGGATTCCCGGGGTCCTCACCCACACAAACCACCTGCACAGACCTCAGGCTTTGCCACCAGGGGACCCCACCTTTAATGCCTGCCTCTGTCCTCAGACCAGCCCCGCTTGGAACCTTGTGCCAGGCGGGGGTGGGGAGCAGATGGGGAACATAGTCACATTCATCCCCCCCCACACACATGCACACCACACAGAACACACACACTCACATACCACATGCCTGTGCCATATGCATGCACCATGCACATAGACGGAACACACACCAGAACACACACGCATAAGTGCACACCCTCCCTCTCTCTGACCCTCACTCAGGGGGCATCGGCGGGTAGTCAGGACCCTGGCCCATAAACAAGAATCAAATGTGGTTGTCTTGGTCCCATCAGGCCACTATAGCAAAGGGCCACAGACTGGGCGGCTCATAAACCACAGAGACTTACTTTTCACGGTCCTAGAGGCTGGAGGTCTAGGGTCAGAGAGCCAGCATCATTGAGTTCTGGTGGGGGGCCATGTCCGGGTGCACAGATGGACACCGTCTCCCTGTGTCCTCACAGAAGGGGCAAGGGAGCTCTCTGGGGTGTCTTTTATAGAAAGGCATTAACCCCGTTCATGAGGGCTCACTCACTGGACCCGGACCACCACCTCCCTAAGGCCACATCTTAATACCATCACCTTGGGGCTGAGGATTCCAACCCATGAATGGAAGGGGGGGTCCCATTCACTCACAGTGACCCCTTGGAGCCTTGCCCTTGCTATAAGCGTGGAGGATTTGCCCCAGACCCAAGGACAGATGGGTTCGGAGTTGCACTAATACAGTGTTGGCTGGAGCCCAAAGTTCTGTCTGCACCACTCACAAATGTTATTGGTGACACCATGCGGCTGCCCTGCTCAGGTCAGGTTCCTTTCTGAGTCACCTGCTCTTGCTGGGCCAAGAGTTGGGACAAACATGCTGCCATCTCTCGCAGGCTCCAGGTGCAAAGAACCCCAGCGTCCCCTCCCTCCAGCCCTGGTGGCCCACGTAGGGCCCAGCACCCCAGCCCAGGAGACTCCAGGCGTCCTCCTTGTATCCTCCCTGACCCCAGTCTCAGCAGATCCTTGTCCACTCTAGCCACTCTGGCCAGGCCCCAGCCACTTCTGTCACTCCTCAGGCATCCTTCTCATCCTTCATCACCCGGACGCTTCTCCTCTGGCAATAACCCCAGCGCTGCCCCTTCCCCTGCCCACCACCCTCTCCCTCTCCTCCACCCCCTGGTGATGAGGACCCCAGCCCTGCCAGCCCAGTGCTGGGCCAGTGGAGCAAGCTCAGGTGGCCTCAGAGTCTCAGGGTAGGAGATATACCATCTGAGCCCAGGGCCACCAGGAGAGGGGCGAGGGGTGTGAGGAAAGGGTTCATGGGTGCCAAGACCATACACCTGGGGACAGTTCACCTCCCCTGGGCCACATCCGGAGAACAGAGTCCCAGCTTCTCATACCCCAGGATGCCCTGGCCTGGCCTTGCCGCCTGCCACCTGGGCTCCTGCTCTGTCTAGCACCCTCTCCTCCTCTTTAGGCATGGACACTGGGCCTGACCTCTTGCAGGGCCCAGACACAGCACCAGCAGCCAGAGCTCCCCTGTAGTGGCCCTGTCCAAGGCCAGATCAGGACTTGGCTCAAGGGGCTGCGGGGCTGTGCTGCTCCCTTGGCACCCACCTGACCTCCTGTGCAGCAGGAAGAGACACAGCAGACCTCACGGGACCATTTCTTCCCACCACAGGGCACAGCCCCACCCACTGCCCCACTGGGACATGAACTGTGGCCACAGGCAACTTTGCCCTGGGGTTTCAGCTGCTCCCCCCAGCACTGCCCCAACCCCCAGCACCCACTCTTCACTCAGTGTGCCAATCATGTGTCAGCGACCCCGGAGCTTTTGCTCCAAGAGAGGCAGCAGGGTGTGGAGAGACTGCCCTGCTTCTCTGAGCTGCACTGGGTTGGGAGGTCCCGCATGGCTGCTCTGACGCCTCATGCCACAGATGAGCAGGCTGGCTCTCACCAGGGCTCTCCTGCAACCCTCTCACCCTAGAACCCAGCATGCCTCTGGTAACACCCTGGGCCTAACCTGAGGGCCACGGGATGGGAGGGAATTGGGGAAAGCATCCCAGCCTCAGGATTGGCCCCAGCACGTGCCGTTGTCCCCTGCTTGCCTCTTCACCCCAGCCCAACCCCTGACGTCGGTCTTGGATATCACCCTCGCTGGCGCCAGCCTCTGGCCTGGTCCTGTCCCAAGGTCCTGTTGCCTCCCTGCCCCATCCAACCAACCCACACCGGCCCTGATACACGTGTGTGCCCCAGGCAGGCACCTGCTGACTCCAGGCCTATTTCCCCAACCATGCAAACCACGGGCTGGACTCTGCTGTTGTCACTCATCCAGTGGAAACAGCTCTCAGGACACGCTTGGAGCAGAGCCCTGCTCCATCCATCCTCAGGGTTAACACAGAGCAAACTTCATCCCAGCTCCAGGGAGGCAACACCCGGGCCTGTAATCCTCAGTGTCCAGGTCTGTGGGCCTGAGCCAAGCTCCTCCAAGCCTGTGAGCGGCAGCCCTGGGCTCTTGGCAGAACTATCACACAGGTGTGCACTCTTTCTGAGGGTGTCAACCCAAAGCTGCGGGGGCCACCGTGCCACAGCCAGTCTGAGAGATGGGGGAGGTGGATTCCCATTTACATTGTTTCAGCACCTGGATCTAGCCATTCCTTGGCTTTTAAAATTTTTACATGCTTCATGAGCCAATAAATTATTTTTGTTGAAGGTGTTTGGGTTGGGTTTCCTGCCACATTTCATTGGACAGGTTCGGATTGAAACAGAGGACTGGCGTCCTGATCTCTATGCTGGGATAAACCAGGAAAATTTTAAAGTCCAGGTGGCGCCAGTTGAGGAAGGTCACCCGGTCCTGCTCAGGCTCCCTCCACCACTGTAAAAGGAAATAGCACCCAGCGACCTCGGAGTGGGGACCCACCCTCCCCGTGCGCTGGTTCCTGGGCCTGCCATCCCGCCCCCACCGGGAGCAGTGAGGCGGGGGAGGGGCGGAGGCAGTCTCCTGCCCCCTCGAGACTCACTCTGCGCCCACAGGACTCAGGGACACAGACAGAGCACAACCGAGTGGCCATCGCAGAAGGAGGAAAGGCCAGAGCAGCGGCCAGGGCCCAGGAAAGGGGGTGGACCGAGGTCTCGGGGGGCCGGAGGCTCGCAGGGCGAGAGAGCCGGTGGGGGAAGCTCGGGGCCAGAGTCCAGCAGGAGCCACGCTAGGGGGACGCCGCCGCTGCTCACGGCGGGTCCCGGCCACTGGGCGGGAGGGCGGCCGAGGCGGACGGCCCCGCCGCCTTGACCTCGAGGTCGGGGGCAGAGGAGAGGCGCGGCGCAGGGCGGCCCGCGGCGCAGAGGCCCAGGAGCCGGCGGGGAGGGCGCCCGCAGCCCCGCCCCGCGCCCCGCGCTCCCCCCGGCGGCCGCGAGGGGGCGCCGCGCCGCGCACCGCGGGCAGGCGAGGGGACCTCGGCGACTGTGGGCGGCGGGCAGCGCCCCGGGTCCAGGACCGCAGCTCGCGGTGGGCGCGGCGGGCGCTTCCCATGGCCGGGCCCGGGGCCGGGCGCGCAGGGAGCCGGTGAGTGGGGGCGCGGCCGGGCAGAACTCGGGCGCGGCGGGCGGCGGGCGCGGGGCGGGGGCCGGGGGGCGCGGACGCCGGGGCGCGGGGCGCGGGGCGCGGGGCGCGCAGGCCTGACCCGGGCACAGGTGCGCGCGCGGGGGGCGGGGCGCGTGTCCGGCCGGTGGGTCCGCGCGCGGGGGAGGCGCGGCGGGCGGCGGGGGCGCGGGCGGCGGGGGCGTGCGCCCGGGTGGTGGCGGGGAGGCCCCTGCCGAGGGCGCACCCCCGGCCGTGGAGCGGGCGCCGGGCTCCCCTGCGCGCCCCCCGCCACCGCGCTTGGGGTGAGCGGCGAGCTTCTGCAGCCTCCCGAAGGAGAGCCAGCTTGGACCCGAGGCCACCACCTCGCACCGCACCTCAGTTTCCCGCTCTGTGAAATGGGAACAGCTGGCCTGCCGGGTGCTTGTGATGAAGGGGGCGGGAGGAGGATGTCTCGGAAACTGGGGCGAGATGACGGAAAGCACGAACGCCACCACCCTCAGAGAGCCGGCGGGGGACGGTGGGACAGTTTGGGGTCCGGAGCGTGTGCCTCTCGCAGTGGCAGTGGACAGGGTCAGGGGACCCTGAGTCACTCCTCTCTGTGTTCAGGGAGAGCAAGGCAGGCCCGAGGGGCGGTAGTGGAGGTCCGCCCAAGCCTGCCCCATGGCCCGGGGGGCATGTGGAAGGGGCAGACAGGGCAGCCTGGGGCGGTGGACGGCCTCACCCCCGCCCCTTCCCTCCCGCCTCCTGGGCTCCTGACGCAGATGTCCTGCTGAGCTTCAGTAACCACAGAAGTGCCTGCAAAGATTCACCTGTGGGCAGGAGATGTCTCTCCGTCTTACAGTGCAAGTGACTGAGGCCTTGAGAGGTGACAAGACTTATTCAAGGTCACAGGACTAGGAAGTAACAAAGCTGGGTTTCCAGCCCTGGGAGCACTGGCCCCACAAGCCATACTCCAACCCTTGTGCCAGGTGACCAGGGGAGGCTTGAGGTTGCCCGCTCACTGGGCCAGAGCACGCACTGAGCCCCCACTGGGAGCTGTCTGCTCCCAGCCCCAGCTAGTGCTTAGAGAAGCTGAGCCAGCAGAGAAAACACCGAGGTCCTGGCGGAGGGTACCTGCTAGGAAGAAAATCAAACAGGGTTATCGGAGCAGAGAGAGATTGGGGTGGGGGCCTAGCCATAGCCTGGCGAGCGAGGGTCAGGGAGAGCCTCTGACCAGGAACCCTGGCTGGGATGCAGTTTCAAGGGCAGAGCCCACCAACAAGGTCTGAGGGAACAGCAGATGCGGGGCCCCTGAGGCAGACACAGGTGGTGGGTGAAGGAGCTGACACAGAGCCACTGAGGGGTGCAGTGAAGTTTGGATTTTCCTCTGGGTGCAGTGCACAGTCCCCAGAAGGTTTAGAGTTTGGGGAAAGAATTGCCCGGAGGCGGGCAGAGAGAATTCAGGGGGCAGGAAGGGGAGCAGGAAGGAGGCTGCTGGAGTCTGCCATGGATCTTCTAGGAGGAGCCAACCCACCCAATGTAGAGTCACCTCCATCCTCGTGGGGATGTCCCCGTGGCTCCTTACAGGGCCAGGAGACATGAGGAGGCTAGAGCATTCTGCAAGTGGTGGACAAGGGAGCCTGGTTTGGGCTTGCACACTGCCCCAGTCCCTACATGTCCCTAGTGGATCCCTGGTGGTCTTGCACCTCCCTGTGTCCGATGCAGGAGGGACACCCATCCCAAGTTCACAGGGATGCTGCTAGATGTTTAGGCCAGGTGTTCAGGCTGCTCTCTGGACATGTCCCTTTGGACATGTCCTATAAGTCTTTGAGCAGTGTCCCTGTTCTCACTTGTATTTTGACCCAGACATATAGAGTCAGCCCCTTCTCCACGAATCCTCCACACCTTTTAGAGGGGAGTGGGTGTCCGAAACTAGTATCTCGACATTAGCAGTGCTTGCCTTGATGCCATTGTCTCTAGGTCTTCTCAATGCACTGAGGGAAGAAATCTGTTTTTTAACTAAAAATTAATGTTTTCATCTTCCTCCCACACTAAGAACCAGGTTCTCCCCAAACATCAATATATGTAATCATCTGCATAGTCTTAGAATACATCCCAAAGAGTTTTAGAGTCACTACATCCAAACCACTGCCTACCGAAACCTACCAGGTCAAATTCAGGATGACTGTGGGTGTGCAGGGAGCTCTGTGTGAGTGTGTATTACCAGCTCGAGTATACAGATAGCTTCATCTATTTCTGTTTGCATGCAATTTGGGTTTTTTCCCTTTTAGTCTTTATGATATAATTTTCTTTGATTTTTCGAGTATATAAAACATTTACATGGTTCAGTGTCAAAACTTAAAGAAAGCTATACCGAGAAGTCTCAATCCTGTCGCTGACTCTTCTTGTCTTCACACTGGGTGTAACCATTTGAAATCATTTCTGGTTTACTGCTCCTGGGTGTCTCTTGCAAAGCAAGCCATTTATTTGTGCGTTACCCATCTCCTTTGCATCTCACTTTTTTCAATTAAAAATATCTGCTTACCGGTTCGTAGGCTTTCCTCATTGTTTTATACAGCCACCTAGTACTCCATTGAGTGGCTGTATCGCACGTAACTCAGCTTGTGCTCTACGGATGGACATTTGTGTTTTCCAGGCTTTCATTACTCCAAACCACAAGGGAAAGGAGAGCCTTGCACATACGTTGTTTGCATTTGTGGAGGTGTATCTTTAATTCCAGAAGTAGGAGTAAATATGTATTTATATGTTAGCTACTCCAAATTCCCCTTCTCCCCTGGCAATGTATGGCAGTGTCTGTTTCCCCTGCAACCTGGCTACTCTCAGAGCTGGGAAATAGCATTTTAGTGCATTTTAATTTACATGTCTATTGTGAGTGCAACTGGACATCTGTGTGTATGTTTTCAAGCCCTTTGACTATCTTTTTCCATGAACTGCCTGTCCATCTATTTTGCCCACTTCCTGTTGGATTTTTGGCCTTTTTTCCCCCTTAGATTTAAAAGTTTGTTTGAATACATATTAGGGAGATTAGTGTTTTATCTTTATTATTATTGCCAATGTTTCCCCCAGGTCTTTTTAAATTTTGTTTATAATGGCTTTTGCCATTAAAAGCTTTCTACTTTTAATATATTTGATTTAATCATTCTTTTATTGCATCTAGATTTTGAATCCTAGTTAGAAAGGCTGTTCTTATACTGGTTGTATGAAATCTACCCATGTTTTCCAATGCTTGTTTATGGGCCCAATGGAATCTTTTTCCAAATGTCTCTTTATCCCAACATGGTACAGTGAAGACGCCATCTTTTCCCCAGTGATCTGAAGTGCACCTGTATCGTATAATAAACACCTGAATGCAATGGACCTATTCCAGGCTTCCATGTCTGTCTGACTAGGTCCATCTCTTCATGTGCTGGTTCCCCATGGCGGAAATTGCAAAACTGTCATTGTGTGTGCATGCACGTGCGTGCATGTGTGCATATGTGTGCAAACACAAGGAAGGCTTTATCTACAATTATTGCAATTGAGCTTTATCTACAATTATTGCAATTGAGCAATTGAGAGATTGAGCTCAACTCCCATTACTGTGTTTCAGTATCTGGTAGGGCCTGTCATCCTCCCTCTGCTTTTGTGTCCAGGGATCCTAGCTCTTCCTGTGTATGGCTATCTTTTGTTGGGATCATACCACATTCGCAGATGCACTTCAGGGTAATTGACATTGTTATCAAGTTGAGCCATCTTATCCAAAACCAAGGAATGTCTTTTTAGATGTTCTAGAATACTTCGTCTTTTATTTGCTCAAGACCACTCTTGGGAGCATTTTGAAGTTTTCCTCACATGTTTTTGTTAAGTTTATTCATCAGTACTTGGCTCTGTTTGCTGCCTTAGGAATTTTTTTCTTCCGTCATGTCTTGGACAGATCATTTTTTGTGTGCCTGTTGTTTTTGTGTCTACCGCACTGAATTTATTTTGTTGTTAGTTTCATGGGTTCTTTTAGAGGGTTTGGGTATTCTGTCATCTGAAAATTGAAATATTTTGACTTCTTTACTGATTTTTATGCATATACTTGCTTTCTCTAATGAAGTTGGCTAAATACCTTCAATTCAGTACTAAAAATTGAATATAAATGAGCCTCCTCCCCTTGCTCCTGAGCTTAGTAAGAAGACCTCTAGTCTCTGTTGGGAGAGATGCTGATTAGGAGAGGGGATAGGGAGATATTTGTGTATGTAGGTGGGAATATACCTTAATTCCTCTTTGGGGGAGGGCTGGTTTCTTAAAACCAGGAATGAATATTGATTTTCATTGAAGACATAGACGGAGATAATTGTATGATATTTCTCCTAGCACTATGAATAAATGAATCATATATATTTTTAAAATATGGAATGCTTCATCCTAGTGCAGGGGCCATGCTAATCTTCTCTGTATCATTCCAACTTCAGTATGTGTGCTGCTGAAGCCAGCACAATAAGATGAATCATATTAATGGATTTCCTAATCTCAAGTTCTGGATGAGAGGATAAGGCAAACAATAAGATGCAAAATTTATTAAATATGAATATTAAGCCATCCTTGCCTTCCTGAAGTGGAAGCCACTTGGGCATGATATATGTTTTAATATGCTAATGTGAGCCATCTATTGCTGTGTAATATGTTAGCATAAACTTAGTAGCTTAAAACAACACACATCAACTATCTCATAGTTTCTGCGGATCCAAAGTCCAGGCATAGCTTTTCTGGATTCCTGCTGGTGTTGGCCAGGACTGGGTCCTCATCCAAAGGCTCAACTAGAAATGGGTCCACTTTTCTCTTCATGTTGTTGCCAGCAGCACTCACTTCTTTCCAGTTGCCTAAATTTCCAGTTGCTTAAGTGTTTTGCTGGTGGTTGGCTGGAATCTGTCCTCAGCTTCTGGAAGCCACCCACAGTTGCTAGGGGCTACCTGTAGTTCCTTGTCCTGTCAGCTTCCTCAACACAGCCTCTTGCTCCTTTAGGCTGGCCAAGAGAGTATCTAGAGTAAATCTTCTAGCAAGACGGGGTCTTACATAGCAGAATCACAGAATTGACATCCTATTGCCTTCGCCATATTCTGTTGGTTAGAGGAAAGGTTCAATCCACACTCAAGGAAGAGCATTAATGCCAGGAGATAGGGATAGTGGGCACTTTACAGTCTGCCCAACATAGGGGTGTTGGATTCTGTTTGCTGATATTTATTTTTGCTACAGTGTCCCCAGTCATTCCTTGCTTCGCTATAGCATAGCTTCTGATGGGTTCTTCCAGAAGGACTCATCAGTACCACATTCCCTGATTTCTCTCTTGTTGAAGTGGTGTTTTGTACCGTTGATAGCCAAAGGATAGTTTGGCTGGTTATAAAATCCCAGCTCACACTTGCTTTACTTGAATTTGTTATGATGTTGCTCTGAGTTGTATTGCTTACATGTTGTCAAGAAGTATGATATAAACATACTTTTCTTCCTTCTATGGGTGACTTGATCATTCTTCCTGGAGCTCCAAAGATATTTCACTAAGTTGCCCATTCAGTATCATTTTTGTCAGGTGCATTTGGGGGAGCAGTTGAATACGCACATTCAAGTCTTCCTTTATTTCCAGAAAGTTTTCTTGGAAAATAATTATAATGTTATGTTGTTTTTCTTCCAATGCGACACCAATACACTAGATCTTTTTTGCCCATCTTTTGTATCCATCACTTTCTATATAACCCTCTTCACTACTAACTTTATTTCATTTTGGTTTTATGATTGTTTTCATTTGTTTCCTCAATGAGCTTTACTAAAATTGCAGTCAAATCTATTCTCCTTAAAGAGAGCATCTAGTTTAGGCTTCACTTCTGAGATGATGTTGTGTTTTTTATTTCTCTCCAGGGTTTGGGCAGTTATAGTTTCATGTTTATCTCTTTTCTGTGTGTATGTGTGTGTCCATTTCTGTTTTGAGTTTTCAAATTTATACTAAAGGGGTTTTGTCACAAATACTTTCTCAAGGCTGCTCAAGTCAAGACGCTGTGTTATATTTTTCACGCATAAAGTGATTCATGGGGAGAATGGCTGTCAGATCATTATATTGCTTTTGTAAGGATATTGTCTATTACCTTCTGTTAGCTTAGAAATGTTTTTATGTTTGTGGGGACTCCTAATCATAGACAAATGTAGGTTGGCACTGGGGAGTTGGGTAACCTCGGGTTTCTTAGCTCAGGAGTGCCCTCTTGTGTTGGTTTTGGGAACTGCACTACTCTTACTTGGAGTCTTAAGGGGTTGCAGGTTTGTTAGCTGTCTGCTGAATTTACCCTTTGCTTTTGCTTCTCTAGACCCTTGAATTCCCCGTGCTATGTCCTCCTGTCCATTTACCACCGACCCTCTAATGGCTTCTACCTTTGAGCCCCAGCCTCTAGAAGTAGGGCCTTTCTGAGACAGCCAACTCTGGTCCCATACATTTTCTGCTTCCCACCTGACCTCAGACCTGCTTGCTCTCAGAATTGCCCCCCTCTGGTGGGCCTGTCTCCTTCTGGTGTTATTTTATCTAAATCCTTGGCCTTGGTTGCCTGCTCCTCGCTCCCACCAGGTCACTGCCCCTCCAGCCATGCTAGCAGGGCTCCAGAGCAGGCTCTGCAGGTTGAGTGTCTTGCAGGTTGGGTGTCTCACACCAGCGGCAAGGGGACAGCAGACTGTCTCTGGGTCTTGCTCTAGGCCTGAGTGTGAGTGGTTTTATTTGCTCTCCTGGTCAATCTGCATTTAGGAGGCTGCCATTATCTCCAGGGACCTGGAGATGTCCCCAGGCTTTTTACTCAGAAAGCTTCAAACAGGGCATCCCAGGTGGCTCAGGGGTTTAGCGCTGCCTTCAGCCCAGGGCCTGATCCTGGAGACCCGGGATCAAGTCCCCCATCGGGCTCCCTGCATGGAGCCTGCTTCTGCCTCTGTCTGTGTCTCTGCCTCTCTCTCTCTCTCTCTCTCTCTCTCTCTCTCTGTCTCTCATGAATAAATAAAATCTTAAAAAGAAAGAAAGCTTCAAACAGTATGGTGTACTCCCCAGCTAACTCCATTCGTCATTAACATCTAACAGCTTGCGCTTTACCTCAGTGCTCATGACTTCTCCTGAACCGTGTATGACCCAAGTAGGGCAGCATCTCCTCAGGACAAGGACATTCTACAAAACCTGAATACAGGAATCACACTCAAGGAGCAATGTTAACACCACATCTTTGTCATGTACAGTCCATTGTCAGCTTTCTGCAGCTGCCCCAGGAATGTCCTTCTGGGCTGTATTTTTACATGTGGGATCCAATCCATGATCAAGTGTCATCCTTGTTTGTCATGTTTACCAGAGTCTTTTCATCTACCACAGTTCCTCCATATTGTTTGTCTTTCCTGACATGGGTTTGAAGTCTTCGCATCAGTTTTCTCCCATAATCTGGATTCGTTGGAGTCTTCTCTTAAAACTCAATTCAGGCTAAGTGTTTTGGGTCAAAGTTGTTTTATAATTACAGATGGGGGCACCTGGGTGATTCCATGGTTGAGTGTCTGCCTTCTATTCAGGGCGTGATCCCAGGGTCCTGGGATCCAGTCCCCTATTGGGTTCCCTGCAGGGAACCTGCTTTTCCCTCTGCCTGTGTCTCTGCCTCTTTCTGTGTCTCTCATGAATAAATAAATAAAATCTTTTTTAAAAACTTCAGACAGGGATGCCTATCTAGGAAGAGAAGCCCATCCCATGCCCTTCTGGGGGCAAAGCAGCTGCCAGCAGTGGCATCAGGAGGGGCCATTGGGAGGAGCGGTTGGGGCCCTGGGGCTGCACGCTTTACTGTGATGTCCCATCTGTTTCCCCTCCCACCCTCCTGTCATCCTTCCCAGTCCCTTCCAGGGAGCTGCCCGGCCTGTGTGCCTGGCTCTGCCTCAGGGGGTTGCTTTTGCAGCAAAAGTGCCCACCATGCACCTTTCATGCAGAACCCCCAAAGATTCCTCAAGGAAACAGAGGCCACCAGAAGCAGTGCCCATCATGCGGCCGAGGGTTGAACCCCCTGCTTCTTCGCTGGGGAACTGCTCTTACGGTCCCAGAATGAGGCTGGGTTCCAGACACCATAATGGAGCCCACAGTGCCAGGGCCTGGTACAGAGTTGGCATCCACAGTGCGTGTATTTCCTTCCCTTCCTGGGGACCCGACATGCATCCCTCACTTTCAGTAACCATCACGGGGCGGGGTGGGGTGGGGGGTGGAGCGCGGCTGGCCCTCCCTTGCCAGCCAGCAGAGCTCCCTGGGCTTGCATTTACAAAATGAAGCCTTCTCATGCATGTCACATCTGTCTCCATGACTTCCTTAAGGCCTCCCTACTCAGGCCACCTCCACCGAGGACGCCCCAAACTATCAAGGTGCATAAACTCAGCCAGGAAGAGTTATCCAGATTCATCTATGAAAGGCCCAGGACTGGAGGTAGAGGCTGCCTCGGTTATATTATTTTCGAAACAAGCTAACACAAGCTCCAGTATTTTTTTTAAGATTTTATTTATTTATTCATGAGAGAGAGAGAGAGAGAGAGAGAGAGAGATTGAGAGGCAGAGACACAGGCAGAGGGAGAAGCAGGCTCCATGCAGGGAGCCTGACGTGGGACTCGATCCCTGGTTTCCAGGATCAGGCCCTGGGCTGAAGGCGGTGCTAAACCACTGAGCCAACCCAGGCTGCTCCAAGCTCCAGTATTGCCCATTTAAGGCCTTTCCATCCTGCTCCAGGGATCATCCTAATTGGGGAATTCCTGCTTTACATGCACCAGGTCTCACCAAGGGCAGGAAGAAGCATGGCCTCTTGAAATCAGAGAAATACTGACCCTGCAGAGTAAAGATTTACTTGATTTATTTGGTCAGCAGATGGTTCCTTTGTTTTTCAATCCAAAGAACATTCAAAAGAAATAGGTTGAAGCACCTGCGTTGGGCCAGCGACTGGGACCATGTGGCCTCAGGTACTCTTCCCAACAACTTCCATCTGCTTTGCAAATGAGAAAACAGAGGCTCAGGGATGTGAGGGGACCTCACAGCATCACCCAGCCTGTGTGGGCCTAGGATCTCAGTCTATGCTATTTATGGTCTGAGATGTTTACAGTCAGGGCTGCCTATAGGTGGAGTGACCTGCCTGGTGCTTCTGGATTTCAGGGTTCTCTGCTCTCTGCTCAGCCACCTGTCTCTCCATCTACCCGACCACTGGACAGACATGTGCTAAGCAGCAGGAGGTGCCTGTCTGAGGGCTTACTATCTCTCAGACAGGGTGTGCCAAGTTGTTTATAAACATTATCTCATGGGCCCCTGGGGGGCTCAGTGGTTAAGCATCTGTCTTTGGCTCAGGTTGTGATCCTGGCGTCCTGGGATTGAGTACCGCATGGGCTCCCTGCAGGGAGTCTGCTTCTTCCTCCCTCTGCCTGTGTCTCTGCCTCTCTCTCTGTGTCTCTCATGAATAAATAAATAAAATATATTT